ATATATATATATATATATATATATATATATATATATACAGTTAAAGTCAGAATTATTAGCCCCTTTTTGATTTTTATTTTATTTTTTAAATATTTCCCAAATGATTTTTAACAGAGCAATGAAATTTTCACAGTATGTCTGATAATATTTTTTGTTCTGGAGAAAGTCTTATTTGTTTTATTTCGGCTAGAATAAAAGCAGTTATTAATTAAAAAAAAAAACATTATTGGGACAAAATTATCAGCCCCTTTAAGCATTTTTTTTTTCGATAATCTACAGAACAAACCATTAATATATAATAACTTGCCTAATTACCCTAACCTGCCTAGTTCACCTTATTAACCTAGTTAAGTCTTTTAATGTCACTTTAAGCTGTATAGAAATGTCTTGAAAAAATATCAAGTAAAATATAATTTACTGTCATCATGGAAAAGATAAAATAAATCAGTTATTAGAAATAGGTTTTTAAAACTGTTAAACTTAGAAATGTGCTGAAACTATCTTCCCAGAACAGAACAGAAATTGGGAAAAAAAATAGACAGGGGCGCTAATAATTCAGGAGGGCTAATAATTCTGACTTCAACTGTATACATATATATAGTGCTTCAGCAATCTACAAAAGGGCGTTGACGTTTGTTAAAGGAAAGATCAGAAAAGACTAGTGATGTATGTGACTTTGTCAAAGCTTGACAGGAACTTTACAGTACGCAGTTCATGGATCAGGTTCTTCCACCATTTCACAAGTGTAAGTAACTTAAGTGCGATTAAAATGGCTCCCTCCTTGTTTTCTCTAGCTTGCAAATTCTGAATTAAATTGTGTTTTGTTACTTGTAGCCGCTTGTACTGTATCTCGTGAATTCTTTATATTCTTATATTGCGTCTAAAACGACGTTGAAAACGCGACGCATGTCACTTTGTTTACAGATTTAAACGTGTTTGTGAGCTTGCGATCCTCTGCCGTTTGTAGTTGTTATGGCCACCATCAACTGTTCCTACACATGTGCGGAAGTCAAGTTTCAAAATAGTTTGCCACTGTGTGGATTAATACTGAACGTGTCTCATTACTTTTACTTATGATTACGAATAGAGCAATATGCTGGTGTTAAACTACATTGCTTTAATGCAGTCCTGCATTGGGCTCACACATACACTCTGCACTCTGACTACTTCAATATTGTTTATAAGCCATGGTGGCCATTTCTGCAGTCAACCAATCACAGCAGACTGGGTCATCGGACCAATGAGGGCAGTATAGCCTCACGCTAAGGAGGGGTTTGGGAACAAATTAATCGCTGAACGAATCATATGTGTGTCGTTAGGATAATTAGATGAAATAAATGCATATTACAAGACAATGAGTCAAAGTACAAGACAAAATGTTTTTTGCATGTCAGCCTGTTGCTGGAGACCCCTAAAACCAAAATATGACCTTTTATAATGCACAATATGGGCTTTTTAAGACAGTTGAAGTTAAAGTCAGAATTATTCGCCCCCCTATTATTTATTTATTTTTTTATATTTCCCAAATTATGTTTAAAAGAGCAATGAAATTTGCATAGTATGTATGATAATATTTTTTCTACTGGAGAAAGTCTTATTTGTTTTTATTTCGGCTAGAATAGAAGCAGTTTTTAATTTTTTAAACACCATTTTAAGGTTAAGGTAAAATTATTAGCCCCTTTAAGCTATATAATTTTTCGATCGTCTACAGAACAAACCATCATAATACTTGCCTAATTACCCTAACCTGCCTACTTAACCTAATTAACCTAGTTAAGCCTTTAAATGTCACTTTAAGCTGTCTAGAAGTGTCTTGAAAAATATCTAGTCAAATATTATATACTATTATCATGTCAAAGATAAAATAAACCAGTTATTAGAAATTAGTTATTAAAACTATAATGCTTAGAAATGTGCTGAAAAAAATCTTCTCTCCGTTAAACAGAATTTAGGAAAAAAATAATAATCCGGGGGGTTAATAATTCTGACTTCAACTGTATATTGCAGACAAACTAAGAGGTTTTTCCAATATGGTGCAGCTCTAGTACATGCTGTTCTTTTGAGGTTGTGATGTGTTTTAAGCTTGTGATGGACCTGTTCTACTGTGAGCATTTAATACTATGCACATACAAATGAAAGAATTGCCTGCTGACAGTGCTTCTGCACGGCCGCTTCTGAGAAACTCCAGCAGACTGAACACATTGAATATTTAGCAGTGAGTCACTGAAATGGAGCGACTGAATACAAGGTCTGTTTTACTCTCTCCTGCAGTTCAATCCAGGTCCCTGCGCTCCGTGATGGAAGTCTACAGCATCAGCAGGGGTGTGGACACGTCCTCGTCCAATCAAAACGCGCTTCTTACCAGGCCCGAGTACGCAGACATGGACCAGTCACATCACAACCACAGCTACCGAAAGCATCGTCGCGGAGACCCCATCACTGGACACAGCTGGACAACACACCGCGAACAAGACAGAAAGTGACTTGTGGATATTATACCAAGCTTCTAAATATGCAGATCTTTCCAGATGCAAAACAACCGGCTAAAGCTTGCGTGTTGCATTTTTACGTAGCTGTGGGGTTATCTGAATGGATTCTACCACAAAACCTGATGGGAATGGTATAAATATATACTGATGCCACAGCTTGCAGTATGCAAACGTTGTGCGCACACACACACACAAACACACACACACACACACACACACACACACACACACACACACACACACAAACACAAAAGCATGCAAATGTTGCACAAAAAGATGCTTAAGTTTATGATGTACCTTAAACACTTCGAGCTCTATTTTAACGATCAAGCCGCAAAGGTCTAACAGGGTTGAGCTTATTCTCTTAATGAGTTATTGGTGTGTTTTGAGCATAACGTGCATTAAACCAGTCTCATCTCGCATTCCCTTTAAGAGTCAGTTGTGTCGCGCCATGGCGCATTTGCTATTTACATGGCGGACTTTGTAAGTGGAAAAACTGAAGCTTTACTAGGGACAAAACAGTTAAACAGACCATCTGCAGCGCAAGGATAAAGAACTAGCCTCCTCCATTCGGCCTCTTTACTTTCTCTTTACTTCTTTACTTTGGTA